CCACCACTGTGCAAGCCGAGAAGCTAGGATTCAAACCCGTGTCTGACCCTAAAGCTCAGGCTCTGAACTGCTACAGCACCGAATCATTGTGGCCGGTAGTTCATATTCAAGACAATGACAGAGCAAATATTCGCTGTGAAGCTCCGGATGTCGGTCAGTAGACTTGATTGAGGACGCTAAAAATTCATTGAGAAAAACAACTATTGACATATTTTAGATTGGATGTCCACGTCTTGGTGAAATAATTACTAGTTCTCCCCTTTAAGAGTGTTCCGAGTTAGACAGTAAATTTTGTGGTTAGCCTAATCTCGATGACTCTCTCCAAGGGCATTCAGGTCTTTTTTATGCTCTCAGACCTATACTGACTCGTGCTAGATCAGTAAATGTTTGCTGAGTGAATGAACGACAGGTGAGGCCCTTTGCAGTCGTCGGCATAAAAACAGTCGTCTGTATTCCATGACCACGGCAGAGGGAATCCGAAGGAGATTGGTGGTTTGCAGCATTCCTGCATTACTGTCTGTCCTGGGCTGTGCTTCACAATGCCTTGACAAGAAGAATGGAGATACACGAAGCATATTTTTAAAGATTTCTTTTCAACGTCTTTGCTACTCACACAGACCTGTAGCCCATAACACTACAAAGCCATGGGAATCCCCATCACGTCAGCACATCCCAGAGGGAATGGTGTATGTTCCATTCTTTCCATGGTTTATATGCCGTTCTTCCCATAGTAGAAGAGACGGGAATATCTTCCACCTCCAGATTATAACACACGGATTACAGAATTGCATGGCTAAACAATAAATCGACTGCATTCTCTCAAGCAGTTTTTATGCATAAGGCCTGATTCTTCATCCAAAGAATGGTTTCTTTTTATTTTCTTACAGTATGTTGTTGTTGTCGATGATACTGTCGAGTCACTTGCAATTCATAGTGATCCTATGTACAGCAGCCCTAAACCCTGTTCTACCCTTGTCAATCTCACTGTCTCCAACACACCTAAAAAATAAGCTCTGGTGGCCAAGTGGTAAGGAGTTGTGCTGCAAGCCCGCAGGTAGGCTGTTCGGATCCATTAGTTGCTCTGTGGGAGAAAGATGGACAGTCTTCTATGAGATTTACAGCCTCTGGGAGGTCAGCGATGGGTCGATGACATGTAACGACAATTTTCCTTGAAAGCAAAGATACAAGAATATTACTTCTTCACTCTTATTCTCCCTTTATCCCACTTGTCTTCTGAAAATCTTGTATATTCAGGGACAAAGAAATGAGTGGATCAGGCACATAAAAATTAGCAATGGGATCATTCCATTCAGAAGCAGAGAGCACCATGATTCCAATCTGTGTGTATTTATGAACCCTTTCCCAAGGTTTGTGTATGTTGGATATTGTGGTGTTTTAGATCACTGAGTGTACAGAAGAGAGAATTCAAACAAAATACTGCTGTTCTTCAGTTTTGTTTGTGGAATTTGAAATTACTCAAATTTAAAATAAATTACTGGACTGTGGACATAAAAAAAAATTAGCAATGTGCTTTTTCACATTGTGATCATTCTTCTTTGGACTTGGGAAGAAAACGTGTTAAAGTGTGAAGCTCGGGTTCTCCTAATACCATGTTAAGCTAAGCATCGATCCCGTGACCCCTGCCCGTGTGCTCATCTCGTTGTCAGGTGTGCGTGATGGGAAAGGTATTGGGGAATCACGGTGATCCGTGGGGACTCTTCACAGGTGGAAGATGCTGTGCCTTCTCCCCTGACGGGAAAGCCTTAGCTGTTGGATTGAACGATGGGAGTTTCCTGGTCGTGAACGCTGACACTGTGGAAGACATGGTCTCCTTCCACCACCGAAGAGAGATGATATCGGATATTAAATTCTCCAAAGGTGAGGACCCCAGCCTGTGCTTTTCCAGAAACCTCGGTCTTGGGATCCAACAAGTTACAAGAGGGGAACAGTTTTAAAAAGTGCCTGTGACCTTTCCTTAGTTTTAAAATATCCAGCTCCTGGAAGTAAATGACCATACGTGAGGTGTGGCTGTTAACTGGGCATCTTTCTTTTTAGATACAGGAAAATACCTTGCTGTGGCGTCCCACGACAACTTCGTGGACATCTACAATGTGCTCACAAGCAAGCGGGTTGGCATCTGTAAAGGCGCTTCTAGTTACATTACGCACATCGACTGGGACTCTAGAGGTAATGTAAATTATGGCTTTTAAAAAAAATATAATATCTGATTTTTTCCTCTAAAGCTATGTCAGTTTGTATATTGTTTCCAGGGAGAATGGTCATTGAATTATAGAAAAATAAGAGGCAAAAATTATGACAAGATAAATGATCATAATTTTACAACACAGAAGCAAGTGCTTTAAGATTTTTCCTATTTGTTGCCATCTTTTACTATTATTCATTCAAGACACTGGGTTATTTTGTCAGTGGAGGATTCCTAAGACCTTCTGGTCCCATTACAAGCTACTGCCTCTCCTGTGGCCTCAGCCCTGGTCCCCCTGCCTGCTTTCCCTTTGCTACCAAAACTCCGTTCCCTGGAGACCTGTCCAGGAAGCCATGAGTAAGGGTTGACAGCTGTCTTGAGCTCAACTATCATTTCTCTGTTGTTACATGCCTCTGAGCCAGAGCACAGTCATTGCTGTTTCTTCGGTAGATTTTCAGAGGCTGTAAATTGCATGGAAGGAGATTTTCCATGCTTCTCCCACAGAGCAAGTGTGAGAGTCAAGCTGCATGCTTTTGGGTTGGCAGCACAAATCCTTCCTTGCTTGGCCACCAATCCCAGCCTCCGCATGCCTCTCTGCTCTGCACATGTCATCCCTACTCCCCCAGGTCACACCCACAAAGGCACGAGGATTAGTCTGTTTATGTGTTTAACAAGTCTGTCTTCTTCCATGGGCAAAATCTTAATCTAAGAAATGTGGAAGATACAGAAAGAATAAAACATAATTTATACTAGCCAAAGTTTGATATTTAATGAGGGAGATATGTTGTAATTATTGATTGCTGTCGAATTGAGTATGGCTCATAGCGACCCTGTGAACAAAAGGCCTGATGCCTTTCTATAACTATCATCATAAAGTGCATAGAGTTTCCAGAGGCATACTTGGATTAAATAAAATGAGGGCACGCTTGGGTAAGGCATGAGAAGTTGGAGGAATGAGCTGAGTGTGGCCTCAGAAAGGACCAAGTCAGCACCAAGTGTCCAGGGAGAAATATCAGAGCTTGCTAGCTATTAAGTGCCGCAGAGTCAGAACCAACTCATTGCTGACCTGCCAGAGGGTTTTCAGAGGCTGTAAATTGCATGGGAGGAGATTCCGCATCTTTCTCCTGAGGTATTTGAACCACCAGCCTTTGGACTAGCAGCACACTCTGGTCTATTTGCTGTGCTGAGGTAGTCTGGGTTTGCTGTGACACTGAACCATTTGCCATTGGAGTCTCAAATGCAAAAATGGAACAGCTGTGCCATAGGTGTGCCAAACACCATAACGGCTACCCATCATGGGGAGTGTTTGGTGGAGCTCCCAGATTGATTAAGGTTTGGAAGCAGGAGTGGCATCCACTTCCTAAACCAAATGCCTGTGGAAGCTCTATGAACCTAGGGAAATGGTGATAGTTATAGAAAGGCTTCAGGCCTTCTGCTTATATATATATATATATATATATATATATATCTTGGGCCTATGTATCAGCTGGGCCTGAGGGTCTAGTGTTATTTTTGAAGGAACATTCTTCAACATTTTGCTGCACTCCTCTGTCAAGTTGCTGCACTGAGGTAATCTGGGTTTGCCATGATGCTGAACCTTGTGTCATGGGAGGACAGTTGCTATAATGGTTACCCAAGGTGGACAGTGTTTGGTGGAGCTCCCAGTTTAAGACGAGTTTGGAAGCAGGAGTGGCATCCACTTCCTAAACCACATGCCTCTGGAAACTCTTTGAACTGGGAGAAATGATGATAGGTATAGAAGGACTTCATGCCTTTTTTTGTTCATAGGGTTTTTATGAGTTGTGCTCGACTCAACCGCATTCAACCACTAAAAAAAGCATTTGGTCACCGGTATGGGGCTGGATCCAGGTTGGGAAGTTGTCTGGAGCAAGCAGATTCTATAGAGGTTTGTTTTTTCATTCTGGTGAGGATTGTTGTTGTTGTTATGTACTGTCGAGTCACTTGTGACTCATAGCGACCCTATGTACAACAGCCCTAAACTCTGCTCTGTCCTGTGCCAGTCACACTGCCTCTGACACACCCATCCCGATTACCCCAGTCACCGAATCAGTCCATCTCATAGAGGGTCTTCCGCTCTTGCGTTGTCCCTCCACCCTCCCAAGCATGATGTCCTTCTCCAAGGACTTGTTTCTCCTTACAACATGTCCAAAGTATGTCAGATGAAGCTTCAGAATTCTTGCCTCCAAGGAGCAGCCTGGTTTAACCCTCTCCAGGATGAATCTGTTTGGTGAGGATTAGGGTGGAATAATTACTCACCACTGGATGTGAGATTATTGTATTCAGCCTCCAATTAGAAGAGAAATTTGGGCCTTCCAGCCTATAGCCCTCGGGCCTGGTTTTAATTGTTTTTGGTCAAACATTCTTCTAAGTGGTATAGCACTGGTCTGTCCATTTGCTGTACAGAGGTAACACATAGTGACTGTGATGTTAAATACTGTGACACTGATGTGTCAAATGCGATAATGGTTACCCATGGTGGACAGTGTTTGGTGGAGCTTCCTGATTAAAATAAGCTTGGAAGCAGGGCTGGCATCCAATTCTGAAATAGCTTGCCTCCAGAAACTCTATGAACTTGGAGAAATGATGAAAGTTATACAAGTGTTCAGGTCTTTCATTCATAGGGTTGCTATGAGTCAACTATGACTTGACAACAATTAACAACAGATCATTTATACACCCAGACCATACAACATTTATGTCAGATTCAACATAGTGTTTCCAAGGTGCACTCATGGTGGGTAGCATGTCCTTGATGTTCTTTCTTTTTAGGGCTGAATAAGGTTGCATTGTTAGGACAATACCACCCGCTCTTTATCAGTTCTTCTGTTGATGAACCCTTGGTTTACTTTTCTACTCCTGCCAGTTGGCTGCACTGAACATTGGTGTACAAGTATCTTTTTGAGTCTCTACTTGTCTCTTGAGGGTATACCTAGGAGTGGAATTTCTGGCCCATACGATAATGCTGTGTTAGGTTTCCCTAAGAACAACCACCTTTCTCCACAGCAACTGTGACATTCCACAGTCCTACCAAGAATGAACCAACTGGTTTATTTGTTAACTCCCATCTTTCTGATCATAGCCACTTGGGTGGTTCAAATCCACCTGCTTCTCTGAGGGAGAAAGATGAGCAGTCTCCTGCTGTATGATTTACAGCCTCTGAGAAGTGACTAGAGGGCCAGCAGTGAGTCATTTCTGACTAGATGTTAGTGGATTTGATAATTTTTTTCTCCCCAGTGGGACAAAGTGATTTCTCATGGTGGTTTTGATTTTTCCTAAACATAAAAAATGTTTTAATTTTTTCCCACCGTTGCACATTTTCTCCCCTCCCCTTCTCCTTTCCCCAGCCCTCTCTTCAGTGCACCCCTTGTTCCAGATTGTTGTCATACATATAATGCCTAATCATATATTCCTTTGGGACGGTTCTTCCCCTCCTCTGTTCTAAAGCAGTGTTCTTTTGTCTATCCACTCTTTTCCCATTCTTCCCCCAGCCCCATCCCAAGTCTGTCCTTTTTGGTAACAGTGGTGTTGTGCAGTGTTTGTCCTTCTGTGACTGAGCTATTTCACTCAGCATCACGTCCGCCAGGCTCCCTGATGTTGTGTAATGTTTTGTGAGTTCATTGTTGTGTAATGCTGTGTAACATCCCGTTATGTGAATGCAGTTCATCTCTCTGCTATTGTGAATAACACAGCAATAAACATGGGTGTGTGTACATCTGTTTGAGTCACGGCTCTGGTTTCTTTAGGGTATATTCCCAGTAGTGGGATTGCTGGGTCAGATGGTATATTTCTGTTTCCAGCTTTTTGAGAAAGCTACAGACCGCCTTCTGTAGTAGCTGTAGCATCTCACATTCCCACCAGCAGTGAATAAGAGTTCCAGTATCTCCACAACCTCGCCAGCATTTCTTTGCTGCCCTGTTGAACTTTCTACTGTTGCTGGGGCGAAATGATATCTCATAGTTACTTTGATTTGCATCCCTCTGATAGCTAGGGATTTTGAACATTTTTCCTTGTATCTGTTTGCCATCAGAATGTCTTTGGTGAAGTGTCTGTTGTCATTGTGGTTTTGATTTTCATTTCCCTAATTGCAGAGGATCACTATGGGTCGCAGGGGACTCAATGGCATATAACGACGACAACAGCGACGATGATGAGGATAATAATTAATAATAATAGTAGTAATAATTTAAAAAAACAATAATAATAAACTTGAGCATCTTTGCATGTGCTTAGTGACCAATTATATGTTTATTCTAGCCCTTTGTTCTTTTTACAGGTAGGTTGTCATTTTATTGTTAAGTTGTGTACTTTGAGTGTTAAATCCTTATCAGCTGTGGGGATCTCCGCTCTTAGCTCCATTTCTGTAGTCTGTCTCCTCCTTTTGCTGGTAAAGTTCACTGATACACAAACATTTTTCATTTTGTTGACATTAGATTCACCTACTTCCTGTCTTATGGCTCTTACTTTTGGTATCGTCCAAGAGGTCATTTTAAATCCTGTCCCTGAGACTTGACGGACTTTAGAATCTAAAGGGGGTAGGCGTTTGGGGAAGGTCAGGGTCTCGATTGTCAAGGAAATCATAGTCCACTGTGGTGGAAAAGCCACCACACCCAGTGTGTGCTCTGGGGACCCAGCTCCCTGGATAAACCAAGGGACCTTTGTGGGAAGGAGGGATCCTTGAGACAGATCTTGAAAGACAAACAGAAATTCACCAGGTGGAGAAGTCCAGGAAGAGCTTTCCAGACAAAAGGAGCATGAAAGTGCAGATGTGAAGGTGGGAAGGACACGGAGGGACTGAGAAATCCATGCTGAGCGGTGGAGGCGTGAGAGCAAGAAATCATGACTCATGCTGAGAGGCTGAAGGCGCAGAAGGGGGTGAATGTGGAGACGCCCTGGTGTGTCTTGCTGGGATTGAACACCGACCTTGACCCTGGAGGCCTGTGGTAGCTCTAAGGAAATGTGGGGG